TAATAATAATAATAATAATAATAATAATATTCTGCTGCTGTTATATACAGATAGGAGTGAGGGTAGACTGTCTTTTAGGACTGACCATATTAATATTTCACAGGATTATTTCTAATGGCTCTGGAAAAGACTTTGCTTTTTATACAGCTATATAAATTCTTGTTTTTGCTCTATCTATAGTATCTCTCCAGGCGTTGCTTTTTATCGAATTCATCTAGTTTTATCTAGCTTAATAGTTAAGAGTTAAATGTTTTGAGGTTTCTAATGATACACGTCAAGCTATATTTTTGCTAGGTGAATTGAATGCTCTGAATAGGCACAAGGTCTACATGGAAGTGTGCTAACTGCAAGCTGACTGGCTGAAAATAATCTATAAATTTTCCAAGAGATGTGACTTGCACTATTTGCAGAGTATTTGTAGAGGGTCATCAGGTTGATGAACTGCAATCCCAGCCTGTCTGGTTGGGGAAGACTATGTTAGCAACACACTGCTCCTAATTACTGAGAAATTTCCTTGTAGTGAATATACATCTGATTTAATCTGTTAGTGCTGCTATTTTTACACTGAATCAGTTACTATCTGATTATCAGTTGTCTTCCTTTTATCATTTTTTTCCCAAAAGGGCAATGAACGAAGTTGCTAATAAAATGAATTAACCTGACATTCTGTAGGAGCTTTTTTTCCTGGTCTTGAGTCAGCAAGGCACTATTCAGTCAAATGAAATCTTCTTCCATTGAACTGCTTTGTCATGCTGCAGGAAAAAAAGCAGAATTATATATAGTCTGTTTCCTCATTAGCTTTGCTGGTGAAGCTTAATTCAAGGATGTATGGTTTTTCTAACTGCTATTTTGTTATCTTTGCTTTTCAGGGACTTTTGGTGGCAATTCTCTACTGTTTTAACAATACTGAGGTGAGAGACATAGAAAGTTGCTTAATTCCACACTATTATTTTTTGATTGCTTCTATCAATAACACATTTAAAAGAAACTAAAATCACATTTATCTACCAAATGATGGCTATTTGGGATCAAAATCAGTTATAGCTTTTATTTAAAAAAGGACTTTAATCTTCAAAATGGCAAGCTAAATTTGACATCTGGTGAGTTTTACCTTTTTTGGATTTAATTTTTTTAAAACAGAGGCATAAGTCCCTGGAGGAGCTCTGGGTGGTGTACAAGATACAATTAGCAAAAAGCAAAAAAGAAGGGGCATTTTGATTTAAGAAAATTTTAAACAGATTGGGAGAGCTTTATTTATTTAGAAAAGAGAATTCCATGATAAATCCTTGTATCAATTTCCATAATAACTAACTTTTGCCTGAGCTTAAAAACTAAGCAGAATCAGGCCTGGTTAATACTTAGATGGGAGATTGTTATCTAATTGCCTACTAGACAATGAAAAATCAGAAAACAAAATGAAAAAAGAAATTTGTCATACTGTTACAAATTATAAAATACTGTAGATAACGCTTTAACAAGTAGCAAAACTTCATATCCTCTTTAAAATCATTATACTCATTACACAAAAAGGATCTATTCTTTTAAATCATGTAGCTGTTATCATACATCATTCAATAGATAGCCTTCAACATTTAAAATGGTTCTGTTTCTAAAAACAAGTGAATTTCATTGAACATTGAACACAGTAATAGGTCTGCATAACTTAGAGAACAGTGAATTACCACAAATGAAGTAATCATAATTTTGGGATGTTTGAAATCATTTGCTACCCAATCTACTGTTCATGATAAAATTAATCTTGAAAGACTGTGGAACAGATGTTAAAAATAGATTTCCATTCAAGGGAAAACATGAATGGAAATATCTTTGGGCAGATGTTTGATCATATTTTGTTGTCATTCAGTTGTTTTCTTCAATCCATTCAGCGTTCAATTCCAATTCTTTTTAACAAGTAATTACACTTGAATTACTCAGTTCTTGTTCTGGTAAAGTACCAGAATCTGTATAAACTTTGAGCTTGAATGTTTATCTCTGATGTAAAATTTGACAGAATAGTTGTCTCTAGCAAAGTTGTAGTACTTTTAACCAGTATAGACAGTTATTCTATAGACAGTTATTTTGCCAAATAAATCTCCATATAATTATAAATTTCATGCATGGTTAGAAGGATTTCAATTCTGAGATTCCTAGAATTTTGAATTAATGTGCTACTGAAAATTAAAATCTGAATTTTTAAGAAATGATTCCACTTTAAAACATGTAATAAAGCATTTAATTACAGCTCTACTCAATTCTTTAAACATTTTTTACCAAGCACATGCTACAATATTATGAGGACAAATCTATTTCCAATTTGAAAAACAAAGGGAAGACCACAAGTGACTCACCTTGAACCTATTTCTTACTCATAGTTTTCTTTTTAGCTCTTCTTTCACCAAAGCTTTCCTGGTTTTGATATGCAACTGCTTACAGGGGATAAGTTTAAATATATGGGATGCTCAACCACCCTCATAGTTGCAGGCCTGGTTTTTTTTTATATATTTGATCTACTTCTAGAGGGTTAGGGTAGGCATGCAAATAAGTATACCATAATGGAAAGCATTGTACTCAGACGTTTTCTCTACTTTAGATTAAACATTGGAACTTTCAGGTTTTAAGGTGTTTCTAATTTATGGATGTGGAAAAATAATGGTAGTGTAAATATGCATACTCCTGTCATAATATAATAGGCCACTCTACATTGTTTTTTATAAAAATAAAAAGTACCACATTATGTAAAGAGACATGATAAAACTGAAGTTCCTGTAAAAAGACATGATCCTAGATTCTAGAACCTAGAAATAATAACCTCACAGTGGTATTTTTCAATTTTTAAAATAATTATTTGCTTTACCAATTTTCCCTCCCTCTTTTTTCCTTAAAAACTGATATAGCACATAGTTTTGTTGTTGTAATTGGTTTTCTTTCCCCAATGCAATATTTATTTCCTATTATCACCTTGGAGTTCATTCACAGATCACTAGATTGTTAGCATGGCGAAATGGCTTAGAACATATTTTATACAATTAGATTTTAACTCTTATACAATGATATGCTTTCTTAAATTACAGTCATGGAGGAAGGCTGGAGAAATTACATTAAACTTTAACCTAGCAGAAATGGAAAAACTATATGCTCAATTGTAAAAGCATGTGGTGATTGCAGTATAGAAGTACATTGATGCATTTTGTTCCTTAATTGTTATCATAAAGACCCTTGGGGAGACATTATTTGGATATTCCATCCAAATAATGTGCCATTTCATAAAGTATTACCTATCCATAATTAAATAATAGTGGCTCTCTTGTACAATATTGTAAGCAATGAGGAGTAATTTGTACCAACGTTTCCATCATATCTGAGTGAATTGAAATAGTCCTTTTCATTTGTTGATTAAAATCAAATGAACAGTAGAATAAATACTATCTAGATTGAGTTTTTATTTTCACATACCAAACTTGATATTCAACAATTTCAGTCACCATAAATTTAAACTAGATTCAAAAGCAACTTACTTAATGAAATACAAAATGTCACTCAGCGGTGTTTTAGTTAAAATACTAATGGTGCCTTGAAAGATGTTGGAGATTTTGGTAAATGTTTGCTCTTCTCAATTACACCATTCATCCATTCTGCTTGGGGGAAGGAGAAACTTATGGTAGATATGCAAGGTTCAATCCTGTGTTGTCCTCTCTGAGGTCAAAATTGTTGTTAGTACAGATTGTGTTGAGGTAGATGGTTATTTCATCAACAGTAATTACTCTTCTGATATTTTGTATTGTAACTTGCGTAGTTTCTGTCACTGGCCATGCTATAGGGCATAGGTGTCAAACTCACGATGTCACGTGACGTGTCACAACGTATCATGACTTTTTCCCATTGCTGGCAATGGCGTGGGCGCGGTTTTGGCGTGACACATCCGGCCTGCAGGCCGGCAGTTTGACACCCCTGCTATAGGGACTTCTCATAGCGAATTGCTCATCCTTAGAGTATAAAAGTTGCATGTATACAACATACATAAATCCCATACTTAACTAGTCACAATTGTATTTGGTAATTGTTTTATATTTTAGTACTGTGAAAATTTACTTAATAAATCCCTCTGGGGTTCAGCCAGACTTACATTAAAACCTTGCTAAGGATGCTAACTTTACACTCATAGCAGGTGGCCAAATATCTTCAATTCATACAAATGCACAAAACATTTAATTGATAGGTTATTTTATCATCTTAGTGTTTCTTTTCCTTGGCAATGAATTGCTGTACCAAGCTCTGTTTTCCTACTGTAAAGTTAATTAAACACCATAATAAAGATATTTTATTTGATTAATTTTAATTATCTGAAACATTGTATGGGTTTTTTTTAGCTCTGTAACAAAAGTGCAGCAGTACTAGATCATATATTGTTCTCTTTCCCTTTGTTTCCTTATGAAAGGTTCGGACAGAATTCCAGAAAAGCTGGGAACGATGGAGATTGGAACATTTCTATGTCCAGAGAGACAACAGTATGAAGCCACTTAAATATCCAGCCAACAGCATTAGCAGTGGAGGTACAGTCGGAACCACAGTCTACGCTGCTACTTGTCAAGCTACTACACTCAGCTAAGATGCAGAGGAAATGGCCCCTCTGACCAGAACTGTAGGAGATAAAATTGAACACCCACCCAGCCAGACTCTTTAGAAAATTTGACCTTCCTCTGTTCATTGCTGCAGGCAGCTGAATAAGCTTTTAAAATAAAGCTTATATTATGGCTAATATAATCAGTGCATTTGAGAGTAGAAGTCACCATCAAAGTAAGTTTAAACAGTTTTCCCCAATTAATACCAGAGGCCTCCAGGTGTCCAAAGCCTGTGTTGATGCGGTTACAAACATGAGGTTAATAACCTATTAGAACAGGTAGACAATTTGAAGCATTGATTAAATTATAAGAATGCCTCTGATTAATGCAGACAAGAAAGATCAGCCATTGAGAAAGGTAACCACAGTCATGGTTAGAAAAAAAGCAATTTTAGTCTGCATAATCTTCGTATACATTTCAGAACTTTCCCATTGGCAGCTTTATTAAGCAAAAAAAAGCCATTCTGAGCTCAATCCAGGACAGGAAGTTTCTCTACATAGCAACACTTTTGTAGAGGAAATATCTTCTACAGTACTTGGGTTGTGATAAGCTTTTCACAAAAGATCATGCCCATTATAATTAAAAAATGTGAGCCAGTGCTTTTTGTCATTAATGCTAATAAAAACATGTTCTCTGCAATCCTGACACAATAATGTTTAACTTTTTTTTAAACATTTGAAATGCAAGTCTAGTAAATGCTTTTTTACAATAAGTAGATCCAATGGCATTGGGAATCTTTACTTTCTTGCTACCTGGAAAGACCTGAACAATCCAACTCTTGTTCCAATGTCAGAAGTATTGAATGTAATATGTTGCTTTTTGTTGCATGGATTCAGACTTGTTAGTTTATTTGTTTTTTTTGATCTGAAGAAATATATACTTGGCTCTAGTATTCCGTAGCCTTTTATGCCTTAGCTTTTGCATAGTCCTTCACTGCTTCAGAAAGCTGCATAAATGCTAGTATGAACCAAAGTACTTGGTAGCTTATTGTTATGTATGTATTTTTAAGTGAATTATGTTACTATCCCTGTAAAAATAGAGACAGAAATGTTATATTTTATTATGCTAAAACCTAGAAGATATATGTGTAAAAACTGCATTTTTGTGCTCAAAAATCTTGGTCATAAACATTCGGCACATTATAGTTATATGTGACCATAGTTCTTTTTCTGTCTTCTGGAAACACAATTTGATTGAGTTGATTCTGCAGTTATATTTTCAGCACTTTGGTCAGCTCACAATCCAACAGAAGAGATAGCTGGCATTCATGCTGCCAAGAAATCTTCTTAAGAGGAGGAGGACTTAAGAGACTCCTCAGTTGGAATGAATTAAAACTATATAAATTCCATATTCTGCTATTAGTAAATCCATTTCAAGCTGTCAATCATTCCTAAAACATTTATCAGAATAAAAAGATGGGTATTGGTGCTAATTTGAAAAATAATTCTAAACTGAATTTGTTTTGTGCCAGTGCTATTTTAATTTTTCTTTTATTTATTTATTTATTTATTAAATTTATATACCGCCCTATCTCCCTTACGCCCTATCTCCCTTAAAGTCAGAAAGCAGAATATAGCAAGTGGAATATGGCAACAGTAATGTTTTAAGCCATTCTGAACTGGATCCTGGATTTCTTAAAGTTTAATAGATAATGCTTCATGTTTCAACCACTATACTGTGTAGTAGGGTATGAACAGAAGCTTGTTATTTATTTATTTTCAAATCTATATATAACTTATTATCTTGTGTGTGTGTGTGTGTGTGTGTGTGTGAGAGAGAGAGAGAGAGAGAGAGAATGGGTGGCTTACAAGCAAAATATAAAACAAAAAAAACAATACAACAATTTAAAAACAAGAACCATCATAGAATACATAAAGCTCACAGCTAGCATAATCACATTCATCAACTCAGTATAGCCATTGCTATACTGAATTGGCTGCACCTCACTCCTGTGTCCCCATGTCTATTGAAAGAACTATTGCCTTCAGTACCTTGTTGTTACTGTAGTTCAGTCCCACAACTGTAATTTCTAATTGCAAAATGTATCTTTACAAATGCTATATACAAGACATAAAAACTTCCGTCATGTTCGTATTAAACATCTGTTAAAGCACCTGTCCATGATTTGTGACTTACAAATAGATGAAGCCATTGATACATTATGTTCAATGTAATCTACTGTACTGACTACAGACAATCTGCCTTTAAAATTTGAAGTCAGGTGGCATCTAAAGTTCATCTGGCTTATGAAACATGGAGCTTTGCACTCATTTTTAGGAGCAGGAACAGTATATTCTACCACTTCAAGCACTGCAATAGTGATTGATTTAAATTTACAATGCAGCCCTATAATTGTCTGTTCAAAGATAAGAATTTTTGAGATTTGTTCCCAAGTAAGCCGAAATAGAAGTGTAATTTTCAGTTGTAGATGGATACTTTATGTATCCAATTAGCCACTGACTTTTTATAATTCATTGGCCTTAAAAATTGTATTTGCAGATTTGTTCTCCAATTATACTTTGTATAGTTCACTTCATTATAATCATTGTCAGATTTATAGGTAGATATAACTGCTATTTGCAACCTATTATTTTTGCAATTTTTGACAGATTTTGCAAGTGAGAGACTTTGTGGTAAAAGACTTGACTCAATCTTGTAAGTCACTATGTTTGTAGAGAAGGGGTACAATGTCACAATGCTTCTAAAATCAGCCACAAGCTGTGATAACGTAATGTAATATGACAAGCTGGTCATATTACATAAAATATTCATCCTATTTCTAGACAAGTAATTTGTCTTGTGACAGTCCTAGATAAGTACCTAAATACGTTTTATGATTAGCTGAAGTTAATTATTATAACCCAGCTCTCCTATTAGTAATCTGCTTAAATAATGCCTTCTCATAAGTAGAATTGTGCTGTAAGTGAACTCAGTTGTTTCCTCCTGTGAATAAAGCCTATTAAATTACTATGGGATTTAATGGCTAAAATAGCACTATTAGAAAAATAGAGATTGTAGAACTGCAGAAAAATGTCCTATCATATAATTCCTAGTTAAAACACTAGGTTTTAAAATTATGGATACATAAGACCCTAATCAGTGCAAACTGCAAAACAGATGTGGAAAATAATGTTTTCAGAAATATTTATCAATGGGGGAAAATTAAAATCAAACACTTTAATTTTAACATTTAAATTGAGTCCTAAAACGCATTAAGACAAATGTTAGTTCTCGAAGACTAATATTTGGGGAGTAAAACTATTTTTTAATTTTGTGCCTTAATGTTTTTCCAGCAGTTCAAGGAAATATGCATATCATTTTCTTCTCCAGTTTCACTCCATAGCAGTAAGCCTGTGAGGTAGGTTGGGCTGAGGCAAAACTGACTTAATGTCACCTGATGAGCTTCTAAAACTGAAGATGGACTTGAATCAGTATTTTCCCAATACTAGCTCAACATCTTTACTATTTATGCATATATAAAATTCACATAGGGATTTTATAATCTTCAGTGATACTTAGAGGTGAATGGTATGGTGGCCTACCGGTGAAGATGCTTGCCTCCCACTTGGAAGATTGAGAGTTCAGTCCTAGGTAGTGGCAAATGTTCTCTCCTAGAACACAAAGAAAAAGTATCTGCTGCGAACTCTGTGTGGCATCAGGAAAGGCATCTGGCCAGTAAACGCTCAACTCCCTCCAGTTGCCCCAATTCTACCCTAAATTAAGGGATTACAGAGTTGTAAAAAGTTTTTTTTAGTGATGCTTATTGGTGTTCCATGCTTAAATGACCACACGTTTAGCAACCATTCAAAATTACAACTATAAGGAATGAGGAGACTTATCACAGCATTACCATATTCTGGCGGTCACCATTTGTGACCGCTGCTGACCTCTGACAGGCAAAATCAATGCGGAAGCCAGCAAGAGGTTGCAAATGATGATCACATGGCACTGCACCTAATAACTGTATGGGATTTATTTAATGACAGCAACCAGAATTGCCACAATTGCCATAAGTCAGCATGACATCATGCTTTACTACTGTGCCACTCAGTAGTGGAGTTGCTGATCCCAATTTGTGTCATTAAGCAAGGACTACCTATATGTGTAATTCACAGCACTATGCAATTCATGAAGCTCCCATTAATCCATTTTTAGAGCCTAAAGATAGCTAATGTGTCTCAAAGATTTGACTTCTTCTGATGTTAGGCATCCACCAGGATTGTCCATGAAGCAGAGTGCCGCTTCACATGGTTTCCATAGCCTCAATAGTTTCTTCAACATGAATAAAGAAATGCTGTATAGATCAATGAAAAAACAATGCATTGAACTGGTGAATAGCAAAACTTAATTATGGCAGAATTTTGAAATCTCGTTAGCACTAACAAAACAAATTTGTTCTAGAAATAAGTTAGACAAAGTAATGAGTATGAAAAAAAAGAGAAGCATATTTTCTTGTACTTCACAACGCTGCCTGTTCATCTTCAAAATTAGAACAGAATTAGGTACAATATAATGGTAGGACAGTGATGTAATACTAATGAATTTGGTGACACGTTCCACTGCTTTTGCACACATTTTCATGTATATCCCTCATACTTTGTATGTGAGTGGAAAAACAATTGGATAAAATATAATAAATCTATTATCTTCAGGTTTGGTTTAGTCCACCCCCCATGCTGGAAATTCTAATAGCATATAAAAGCTAATTGCTTTGCAGAAACTTAATATTTGAATAAAGTTTTCTCTCCATTTTAACTGCTTTTAATACATTTTTAATTAACCCATGATGTGTGACCTCCTGCCAGCTTCCCTATTGACTTCAGTTGTCAAAAGCTGGCAAGGAAAGTCACAAATCATGAGTACATGACCATGGGATGCTATAACAGCTATATGATTGTAACTACTACTATTTCAAAGCCATCATAAGTTCAGTCACTGAATCAGTGATTGTTAAATAAGGATCACCTTTTATTCTTAAAAAAACCCT